TCTCTCTCTCTCTCTCTCTCTCTCTCTCTCGAAGACGGATTCACAGCAATTACAAGTTCTATACCTTAAAATACATAAAATATGTGAGTTTTCTAACATTCGATGATGGATCTCTCATATCATGTGCTCGTTGAAAAATCCATCTTTCCTAAAATTTATACTCGTGAAATTGTTCTTTCATCCGAATGGTGATCAACGATTTCCCTTTGCAGCTTTACTGACGAAACACCTGGGATTTGCGGATCTTCAAGAGTCTCAAACGAACATCAGCTGTTAACAATATGGCTGCCAAGGAGAAAAAAAACTCGGACGAAAGTGCTACGAATGGATACAAGAAAGGTTAATTTTTTAATGCTATCATCTACTTAAAAGTATTTTTTTACAATAATTGGATATTACTTTATGTAGATGTCAAGGAAATAGAAATACTGATGCCATGGGGGTACATCAGAGGTCAGTATAGTCTGATGTCTTTCTTAATTTGAATCCTACATATAATAATAATATTATAAATATATCAAAATTATATCAAAATAATTTTATTCTTTATATAAAGGCTATATTTTAATATTCGTTATAAATGCTGAAAAACTATAGCACACTATATATTACATATATATATTTTTGGTACATATTTATGAAATATATGTTATAAATTTTCAGCATTCTAACAATAAATATCAACAAACTTTGTCAGATGTCATATGTATGATTGTCAAATACACACACACACACACACGCATGCACATATATATATATATATATATATACATATAATCATTTAAAGATTTAAATATATATTAGATTAAACGGAAATTAAAGACACGTTGCTCTCAATAAATGACACATTAAATTCAACATATTGATAAATTTAGGAAAATGGTGGGGACCGACAGATATGCAGCCTATAATGGCAATACACGGCTGGCAGGACAATTCAGGAACTTTTGACAAGTTGGCACAATTATTGTCAAACGTAGCTATACTGAGCATAGATCTGCCTGGTCATGGCATTTCTTCTCATCTACCACTCGGACAGTTCTACTATATATTTTGGGATGGGGTTCTTACGCTACGTAGAATTGTTAAATATTACAAGTGGAACAAGGTTAGCCAGCGAGTCAATGTTATACAACGATTTAAAAATCTTTTTTTATAAATTATAAATATAATATACAGTAACATGGAATAAACAAGAGCATGGGTTTTATATGCTTTATTTTGCAGAAGTTAAATGCAATTACAGCATAACTTCACAGGAGTATGTGATCTTTTTATATTATGTATCATTACCAATTACTTATTTACATATTTTTAATTTAGAATATTTGCATATTTTGCAATAGTATTTATGTTACATTCAACATGGAGGTATAACGTTATTACTTTTATTATTTAATATTCACATTGCTTGCACCTGGTCATATCATAATTAATAAAAAAAATATTTAAAAAGGTTGACTGTTATGTATGCATAATATGTAAAACAAATATGAAAACTCTTAATGCTAATAATAACATGTTAAAAAACACTAAACATCATTCAAAATTATCGTTGTATAACTGCATATTACATCATACATTCTCAAGTATAGACAAAAAAGCTTTTTAACTCAGCTGTAACTTTGTTGCATTTAAAAAAATATAGGATCTTTCTCTTCTCCTTTAACAAATTGCTACAAGTTTATAACAGCAAGATCTGTATTCTATTGAAATGTCATAATTTGAAGAAAATAAAGTAAAATAAAAAAATAATTGTAAAACTCTCCTGCAGGCAAATGGTGGGGCCCTAGTGAGCTCCAACCAATACTGGCACTACACGGTCGCCAGGATAATTCAGGCACTTTTGATACATTAATGCCATTGCTGTCAAATGATGTTTCTGTTCTTTGTTTGGATATGCCTGGGCATGGTTTATCTTCACATTACCCAAAGAGTCAATTCTATTATGTGTATTGGGATGGTGTCATATTTCTTCGTAGAATTATTAAATATTTCAAATGGAACAAGGTTAGCGAGTGGATAAAATTTACAATTGAGATCAGTATAAATTTTTTCCAGTATGATGCTTATATATTCTCACATATCTAACAGTCATCCTTGCTTGCACTAAATTGCATTTTATATTTATGTTTGACTCAAACATACTGCATGATGAAGTTTTTTTGTATATATGAAAATTAATGTTAATGTGAATATTTTTACACATATCATCAACATATATTTTATGTTAAGTATTGATGTATATAGAATAACTAACTCTATTATATAAGAGATATATACAATATTGTATAACATTTAATATATACTATATGCTATATATTATATCTACTAAATTAATATAAATTTATAACTTTCATTCTATTATGGAAATAGGTCAAACTTCTTGGGCACTCATTGGGTGGTGCTATATCATTTCTGTATGCAGCATCATATCCAGATGAAGTCGATTTTCTTATAAGTTTGGACATTGCTAGTCCGAGCGTAAAGGATGTCAAGAAAACAGCTGCAACCACCGGAGAATATATTGACAGATTTTTGAAATATGAATTATTAACATTGGATAATGTACCATCTTATGAATATGGCGAAATGCTTGACATAGTAGAAAAAGCATATGATGGTTCTATAACAAGAGAAGGAGCAAAAATATTAATGAAACGTGGTATGCAGCCAGCGCATAAAAGAGACAAATATTATTTTTCTCGTGATCCAAGATTGAAGGTAAAAAAATTTAATTATGCAATATGTTTTATCTAACAAGAGCTAATATTGTAGGTTTTTATGATTCAAAGAAGTGTTAATGTTATTTAAAATTTATTATTTATGTTTTTTTAGGTTTCCCTTTTAGGCCAATTATCTCTAGATTTAATACTTGAATACGCAACTCAGATAAAATGTGCTTATCTCAACATTCGTGCTATTCCTGGAATGAAATTTGAAAATCCTGAAAATTATCAGAAAATATTGGACATCATAAAAGTAGGAGCTAAGAAATTTGAGTATCATGAGGTGACAGGCACGCATCACGTACATTTGAATGAACCCGAAAAAATTGCGCCTATAATCAAGAATTTTTTACAAATTTAATAGTAATGTTATTTAATTATATACGTATTAATGAATTTAGTTACTTAAAATAATTTTGTGAAAAATGGGTACATAAAATTTTTTATCTGAAATGTACAGATTAACA